GACGGGGACGGGGGAGGGGGGAAGCATCCAGGCCAGCACAGCCCCCCCCAACGCCACCCCCTGCCCGGGGACCCATCCAGGGTGGGAGATGGTGGCAAGAACCAGGTGTAAAAGAGAGAAAATGATAAAAATCGGGAGATATCAAAATTGCTCCGGGGGGGGGAAGGGGGGGGTAGAATGTCTTTCTTCCTGAGCTCATGGTGGGCTCCAGTCCAGGGCTAAAGAAGAACCACTAATGCATCACATCGAGCACCTTTGTGTCTCCCAACGATGCTCATCCCTTCCAGAGATGGGGAGATGGGAAATGCCCCCCTCCCGGGGTGGGGGGGGGTTACACCCAGGGCCAGAGGACACCCACCACCCCGGGATGGGCCATGGAGGAGAGGGCAGAGCCACCCACCAGCTCCATCCCTGCCTCAGCTGCCAAGAGATGGGCACTGGAGGTCTCTCCGGGTTGCCCAAACAGCCCCCCCTGCCCGGGGTCCTGCCCCACACCTGGGAGCTCTTGGGGCCCTGCCCCACACCTGAGAGCTCTTAGGGCCTAGCCCCACACCTGAGAGCTCTTGGGGCCCTGCCCCACACCTGGGAGCTCTCGGGGCCCAGCCCCACACCTGGGAGCTCTCGGGGCACGTTGCCTGGCACCATTTGCATGGCTGCCATTTCCCCCTGCGGTGGAGGGCAGGTCCTGGGCACGAAATACCTGCTCTGGGCACCCAACCCACTCTCTCTGGCACCAACCAGCCCAAAACCATGCCCAGGTCACCACCTGGAGGAGAATTCTTCCATTTGCCCCAGGGAAAAATCAGCAAGATGGGTCACATTCCTTATTTTTGCTGTTTCCCACGTGCAGTTTGGGCTGGTTCCTCAACTTTTTGGTGAACCCCTTGCAGCCCTTTGCCGGGACCTGGCTCAGCGTGGAGCCTGGTGCCACCAGGTCCTGGTTGGGGTGGCCAGGTTAACCTGGTGGCCAGCAAGGGTTGGGTTGGGTTGCTCTGGGGCTGCGCGTGGTTTAGCTTTGCAAAAAGGGGGCAGGAAAAGAAAACACAAGGCTGAGGCTGGATAAGCCTGTGTGGGCATGGCCGGAGGAGGAGGAGGAGGAAGAGGAAGAGGTGTTGCGTGGTGTGCTGGGCTATTCTTGACCTCCGGAGGAACCCGAGGGCGGGCAGGACTCCGTGGGCAGGGCAGGGAGAAGGGATCCCACGCCATTTCCAGAGGGATTGAGGAGCAGGAGGAGAAAAAGTGAGGAGGGAAAGGGAGGGGGGAACAGGGGGAAAGGGGG